TTTATATATTAGGAAACACTGACCAGAAACTTATTTAAATTCCCAGGAATAATTAATTAGGTAAAACTTGTGGCATTTTTCTCCCGACAGTCAAGAAATATATGCATCTGCACACGTGGAAAATCTACAGAGGATTTGAATGTAACTACAAATGTGTGTGGGGAGGGGGAAATGCTGATGCTTTATCAAGTATTTTCTGATGAAAAAACCTGATTTAAGGACACCATATTCAGAGAGATATAAATACACGTAAATAAACATGTTTTTTTTCCCTCAGTAATGTCTGAGATCTCTGAATTTCTCTATAATTACATTTAGCAGAGGAAAACAACCTGAACCAGGTCTGTGCGGAGCAGCTCTCTGCAATCTGTCAGCTGCTCACAGTGCTGTAACCCACTGATCACCGCCTCAGCCCTTCCATAAATACTGCAGGCTGTGTGCGTGTGGTTTACGGAACTTCACAGGTTTCCATGGATACGTGAATTTTAGTGCTAAAGCACATTTACTATTGCTTTTCTTGTCACCAAGAGTCCTGTAAACACTTGTGCTTTAAGATTTTGTGCAGAATTTTAGTATTTTATAGAGGAAAAGTCAGAATTAACTTTTTTCTAAATACACTGCATGATTTTCCCGTAGGGCCAAGGCCCTGAAATCATTTATATCTCTGGCCTCCTTTTAGTGACGTATTTTTATTTATTAGACAAATAAAAGACATAACTAAAATAAAAACCAAAATAAAAGGCTTAACTACATGGCAGGATCACTTTCAAGTGACATATTTATAGTATGAAAATGTTACAATTAATAAATAAGGCAACTTGCTCTGAATTTAAATGTGAAAAGTGATAACTCAGAAAAGCAATTATAGGAATACTATGCATATATTTAACCATTTTTCTTCCTAAATATGGTGAAATTTAAGGGTGATTTTTAAAGATTTCTTTCTGTCATATTTATTGATAAACTTAAGTTTAAATTATTCTTTCTTATATCCATTAAGCTTTTTATATAGTAAAAAATCTGTGACTGTGGACTGCCATGGTCACAGATTTTTCCCATCTCATACATGTATAAGCAGAGGCTCAGAAAGTGTGTAAGGACCATGCCCCATGTAATACTGCTAGCAAGGGGTTGAGCTGAGACTGGAACCCAAGACTTCTGTCTCCCTGCCTGAGGCTTTTACATTGTCTTTTTCTTGGGCAGAACACAGGCTACTTCTACAGAAGGGGTATCCATTTACTGACAAGTTTCTGTGCCTCTGTCCTAGACTCCATTGAATCATTCCTTTCTCTATCCATTCCTCTTAACTGTCCCCAGAGATTTGAGTCTGCTGAATTTACCAACTTAGTCATTTCAAATGAACATCAGCATTGGAAAGCAGCAATCACAGAGGCCACTCTTATCTTGGATGTGCACGACTTGAGGAATCTACAAGAAAACGAATTTTTAAGTTTTAAGCATATTGAGTAAGAAAGCACAAAGCAGAATGAAAGAGAAGCCTGAAAAATTTGTACAAAAAAAAAAAAATACAATCTGAGCACTTGTGTCTGCACTTTCAAGTCAAAGAAAAAGCTTTTACTTTAATAGCATGGAATCTGAGGGCCAGTGTTGGAGCTATCAGAACAATGTCTCAACTCTCACTCATGGTGCTAATGTAGCCAATGTATCATCTCTGCAGATATCTCCTTTAAGGCCATGAGATCTTCAAAAGACCATCTTCATACCAGGTCTTATTCAGCTTGTATTGTACAGATCTTTTATTTTTGTGGTTCTTATTTTTTTTAACAGCATGTAGACAATGTTTATTTATTTTACCTTTAATTATTAAGATACTTGAATTTATATTTCGGCAGATACAACATCTTTATTTTATTTTTATGTGGTGCTGAGGATAGAACCCAGGCCCCGTGAGCCACATCCCCAGCCCAAGAGAGAGAAAATCTTTTTTTTTTTTTTTTTTTTGTAGATGGACACAACACAATGCTTTTTTTTTTATGTGGTGCTGAGAATCAAACCCCCGGTTCTGCCCGTACTAGGGGAGTGCTCTACCGCTGAGCCACAATCCCAGCCCCTAACCTGTGCTCTTTTTGAATCTAAAAATAAGGCTTTAGGGCTGTGGTGTAGCTCAATGATACAGTGTGTCTTTAGCATGCACAAGGCCCTGGGTTCCATCCCCAGCACCACACAATAAACAAATAAATAAATGCAATACTTTGCTTTTGCTGTCTAATGAAAGAGGTGTTTGGATAGAGGAAGGCTTTTGACTAAGTCCTGGCTTCAGTTCTACCCTCTGTCCACAGCTCCAAGTCTCAGGTCTCACAGTAACTGCCAGGAGCTGAACAGTCACAGGTTTGTTGTCAGCGTCAAATGCACAAAAGATATGAAAGTGCCTTACTACCAACAAGATATCTAAATACACAGAAATATATACAGGCTCGTTTTGAGGCCTCCATTAGTATCACACAATGCTAGCAATGCCAATTTATTTTAGTCTCTATGTGTTAAAAACACAAATAATGACTTTTGTTCCCTCACAGACCTTTTGCTAGAATGTGGACTATTTATTTAATACCAAACATGACTAAATCATCTCCATTATGGTTATTTCAATATGTTTAAACCCAACAAGGCAGCAACTGAAAGTGCTGTCCATTTAATAGCCAAAATAATGGGGAACTGGTAATTTGGCTGTAATCTAACATCTGCTCCTACTGTGTACCATGCACAGCTTTCTAGATCCCAAGATTATAGCTCTAGATTCAAACTTTGCCTATTTCTGCCCCAAGACTAATGCCTCATTTATGAATGGAAATGTTAATTCTGAGCTGCTAATCCAATAGAGTACCACCAGAGATCAACCACTGATAGATATAAGGGAAGACTCGGCCCTCCTGTACTACAAAGCTGTGTTTCTCCTATAAACTCCATTCAGACATTGAATGCATTTTATCTATACCTGGCAGGAATCTAGAACTAAAATCACAAGATTTATTTCATTTTAATTCTATTATGAGGCATTTAATCACAAATATCCCCAAAATGAAAAGATAATTTATCATCTTGCCCTGACTGAGCAACTCTCCTCAGTTCACATTCATGAATCCATAATGCAGGGAGGAGACTGGATGATTAAGTGTCCGATTAGAGAAAACAGATTAACCTGGCAAACATAATAAATTTAGCTCATAAGCGGGATGGCTTTATAAATGCTCACAGTAACTCTCCTGTATAAAATCATGAACCACTTCCTTCAGTGATGACTCAATTGAAGTAGTTGAGGAGCATAATAAAATAAATGCATATTTATGGCTTTCTCTTTGAGACATTAACAAGATATTGAAAGGCATATCAGATTCAGTTTATAACTCTAACTATATATTAAATAGGAAACCTGTAAGAAAAATATTAGCACATAAAAATAACAAAGTTATGACTTCCCAAACATTCTAGTTTCTACTTTGCCAAAATTTTGTTTGCCAACGATATCTAGATTTCAAATACTTTCCATGACTTTCTGGGCACTCTATGTTTCCAGAGTTACCAAAAACAGATCTCAAGTTTCAGATCATGCAAGTTTACCCATGATTTTCTTAATTGAACCCAATTCCTTAAAAAACAAACAAACAAACAAACAAAACAACCCAGCTGCATATTTAGATAGTTCTTATTATGAATAACACATAAAATCAGCTAGCTATATTAGCTTTTGAATCAGTAGGGGGGGGAATCCTTTTAACTGAAATTCCATTTACATCACAATAAAAACCTAGAGCTAAAATATAGTGTACTGTGTATTTCTGATGAGTGTATTCTAACATTTCTAGGTGCAACAAGATAGGTAATCTTTGCAACCCTGGTGCCTAGCACATGGTATCATGAAGGTTAGTTGGTTCAAGTGGCTGGGAGGAAATAGTTAAAGAAGAGCTCTGCAGTGCCCCAAAAGGTCCACTTAAGACTCTACCAAGGCTTCCTTACTTAGCTGGTTACTTAGCTGGTTAGTATTTCTGGCCCATCTTTGTCGTCTTCGAAGACGTCTTTTTGTTGTTGTTCTAATCAGTGAGTAAAAGGATACTCTCCACGCCCAGATTTATTTTTAAACTTACAGGGCTGTATTCCTGGAGACCTCTGCTGGCCTACCTGGCTTGGAAGAGTCAGTTAGGCCCTGCTTTGTCACATGAATCTGAGTCACCCTGAATAAGGGACTTGCTCTGCTCATCTGTCTAGAACTAGGATCCTTTTCAGGGACAGGGCAGGGCAGGGCAGGGTAGGCGGGGAGGGGAATGAGCTTCTTGAGAGAATTTGGTCTTTAATAAAGAACCCATCCTATCCAGAGACAGGTAAATTTCCCACTGGGGGAAACCAGTACCAGGAGGCCCAGCGGGGGGGATACTCATGCTTTTTCCAACTATCTTCTTGCTTCTCCCGACTCTGTAAACCTTGGGCCTGGGAATGGTGACAGGGAGGAATCCAAAAGGAATTGGCTTTTGTGTATCCTCGCTCCTGGATGCTTTCTGGGAGTGCAGGGACCAGGATCTCTTCCTCCCTGGAGGAATTCATGTAGAGCTAGAACAGGGTGTAATGTGAATTGCTGATGAGGATATACTAACGTGTCTAGATTCCACTAGATGGGTTACCTTTATAACAGAAGCGCCTAGCACAGCGCCAGGTATCATGAAAGTTAGTTGCAGAAAGATCCAAGTGGCTGGCCGGGATGGGATGTAACTGCTTGAGGTTGCGCTCTGAGCGCTGGATTCCTGTGGTTCTTTGTGCATGGGGCGTGCGATGTATGTGCTTTTGGGTCGAGGCGGGTGCAGCGTGTGCAGCGTGTGCAGCGTGTGCAGCGTGTGTATGGAGGTGGGTATAAATAAAGGGTCAAACTAAGATGAACCCGCAGGGCCGAGGGCTGGAGCTCCGGGCGGGGAAGAGCGGGCCTCTGGAGGCCGTGCCCCCACCTCGGGGGCGGAGCCGACGGCCCTGAGCGTGAAGCGTGGGGCGCGTGCGCTGCTGCGTCCCGAACGCAGTGCCTTGCGCTCCTGGCGCCCGCGGAAGGGCTGGCGTTGGCGCTGGTGGCAGGCCAGTGGCTGGTGGCAGGCCAGTGGGGGTCCACCGCTACGGCTTGGCCTCTTCCGGGTACTGATGGAGTCGTCCCGGATTCTCTAGGAGGAGGGTCCGCAACTGCGAGCCAGGGAGAACCCGGGACATCAGCACCTGCTGCCGGGTGAGGGGAGACCCCGGGCTTTAGAGTGAAGTGTGCTGGCGAAGGGAAGGAGGACCTCTAGATGCCCGGGAACCTCTTTCACAAGAGGAAAAGCTCAGAGGGTTAGAGAGCATCTGATCTAATTCATCCCCTTCCCCTCCCCCAAATGAAGGCACTGAGTCCGCAGCGGGGGTAGAGGGCGAAAGAGACTTGCTTCCTCCACTGAGGAGGCTATTAAGTGGCAGAACTGGGACTAGAAGCAGTCTTCTTATCAAAACTTTTCACACCTACTATCCTTCACTGAAATGAATATGAATAGTAGTACTAGTGGTCAAGATTATCTTAGCATTTTATGGTGCTATTTGGCATTCAGGATTATGAATATGACTCATGTAATGGGAAAATTCAGCCACTTGTGACCTCTCTGAGCTTGAGTTTCTTATTCCTCCATTTATGAAACATTGGCTTGGTAGTTTGTGTTTGTGCCAAACACTCTGCCACGAATTGAAAGTCTAGAGATGAACAAGAACCAGCCTTCCATATGGGGCAGAAGAGAAAATTCCCCAGACACCACTTAACTGACACAGGTGTAGAAAGTGGGATGGGCCGTTGGAGAGAATGCTGTATGGAAAATCAAAAGGAGATGTCTTTCTGGCTGATTGGAGAAAGACCTAAGGGGAGAGGTGGCATCTGATCTGGATCTTTGCTTGGGGACATTTGGAAGTGGGAATTTCAGGTAGAAGGTTAAATGTTAGCAAAACAAACAAAATCCCAAAACAAATCCAGCATCAGAAACAGCAGCCATCACCTCCAGATATGTGTGTTGGAAAATGGTTTGATTTACCTAGAATATAGGATGCATAGAGGCCAAAATTATGAAGAAAACAAAACTGGGAGTCAGTGATGGGGAACTTTGGAAGATTCCAAGCAGAACATGTTGGTGGTGCTGTTGCTGAGGATAGTTAATTTACCCTGGAGTGGAACTCAGCAGTAGAGTGAGATTGTTGGACCAAGGATTCATGTAGCTGTGAGGGTCTGAGATGCACCAGTCTGGTAGCACAGGGCTTCAAGGAAGCACTTCAGTGTAGCAGTATTATAGAGAATTCAGCTGAAATGGGAAAGGGTCCAAATCACATCAGGAGGCTGAGAATTCCACTCTGTCCCTGACTATACAGGAAACACTTACTTCTTTTGATGCATCCCTAGGGACCAAGATGGAGCTATAAACAGAGCAGCCTGTTTTGGCAATGGAAATGGGAAATTTCTGCTACAAAGATGAAAGTCTTACCCTCATACTACTATATTATAACCGAGTCATGCAGTTCTGTGCAAATGAACTGTTAAATTGAAACATCTTTACCTTAAAGGTGACACAGAGATTGTAGTAGGGGACTTTTTAAATGCATCTTTAATTGGTTCTGTGTTATCTCAAACTTATAAAGTACCATATTACACATCTGTGCCTGGATGAAATTGATAGATGTGGTCCAGGTAAATCACATTAGACAAGCACACAAGTTATAGCCATTTGCCTAAGGTTTGAGTCTAGGAACTTTATAGATGCTTCTTGCTCCACCTTGACACTTCCTGGGCAGGAGAGATGCAGGGATTCTCTAGCAATACTCCACTTCCCATTACTCATTGGTTGTGCATATAAATGTTTATGTGAAATACATATTTATGTGCTTTTACAGCTTCTCCATCTAATAGGTGTTTGAAAGAAGGGAAAAGATGAAATGTTATTTAGTTATTCCTTTGATTAATGATATTAATCAATGGTATAAAAAAGGTATAATTTTAGGTCTTCATACTTCATACTTCTGAAGTATGAAGACCTAAAATTAAATTCTAGTTTTGTTACTTTCTACCCGTGTGACATTAGGTCTGGCATGTAACTCATCAGAGACTCCATTTGTTTCCTCATCTGTAAAATAGTGATCATAATAATCAGCTCACAATTGTTAACAAGTCACCACTAGAATTCTCCCTTTTACATTTTTATAGACACACCATGTTCTTCCATCACTTCCATAGCCCCTGACAACCATGATCCATTCTCTATTTTTATAACTTTGGCATTTCAAGGTTGTTATATATCAGGGATTATGAAGTATGCCCCCCATTCAGCATACTTCTCTGGAGATTCATTCAGATTTTGCATATATCAATAATTGTTACAGGTTATGGAGAGCTGGGATGTGGCTCAATGTTGGAATGCTTGCCCAATATATTGAAGGCCCTTGTTTCAATCCATAGCTCTGAAAAAAGAAATGTTGCATTTTGTTCCATACTATACCTCAGCACAGTTTTCTTTTTGTGTTGACACATACTAATTGTACATATTATTGAGGTTCAGTTTAATATTCCATGTATACATATGGAATATAAACACATGCATATAATGTACACCACCCTTTTTATACCCTCCTCACACTCTTCTTCCTAATCTCTAGTAATTACTATTCTACTTTCAAATTGACTTTTTTTTCTTTCCTCCCAGATTTTAGAGAAAATGTGGTACTTATCTTTCTGTGCCTGGCTTATTATTTTTCTCCTCCTTCTCCTTTTCCTTCTCCTTCTCTTTCTCTTACTACTTCTTCTCCTTCCTCCTCCTCCTCCTCCTCCCCTACCTTCTAACTCCTCCTCCTCTTTGTTGAGTTTTTTGACTTCCTTATATATATATTCTGACAACCCCTTGTCAGATGTATAGTTTGCAATATTTTTTCCCATTCTGTTGGTTGTTTCTCCACAATGTTGATTGTTTCATTTGCTGTGGGAAAGCTTGTTAGTTGATTTAATCTCATTTGTCTATTTTTGCTTTTGTTTCATATGCTTTGGTGGTTCCATTCAGAAAATCATTGCCTGCACCAATGCCTTAAAGTATTTTCCCTATTTCTTCCTAGTAGTTTCACGATTTCAGTTCTTACACATTTAGGTCTTTGATCCATTTGTAACTGATTTTTGTATAGGGTGGGAGATAGGTATCAAGTTTCAGTCTTAGGTATCAAGTTTCAGTCTTATGCTTATGGATAACCAATTTTTCAAACACCATTTATGAAAGCGACTGTTCTTTCTCAAATGTGTGTTTTTGACACCTTTGTTGAGAATCATTTGGCTGCAGATGTATGGGTTTATTTCTGGGATTTCTGTTCTGGTCCATTGATCTGTACTTGTACTTCTCTTTTTATGTCAATATCATACTGTTTTTGTTACTGTGACTCTGTAGTATTTCTTGAAATCTGGTGGTGTTAACAACAACAACAACAACAAAAACCAACCAAACAAAAAAAAAAAACAGCTATTGTGATGCCTTGATCTGTTTTCTAAAGATTGCATTGGCTGTTGATGGTCTTTTGTGCTTGCATATAAATTTAAAGATGGTTTTCTCTAGTTCTTTGAAGAATGTCATTAATATTTTGATGGTGTTGCATTGAATCTGTAGATCACTTTGGGTTGTATAGGTATTTTAATAATATTAATTTTTTAAATGAACATGGAAGGTCTTTCCATCTTTTTGTGTCTTCAATTTCTTTCATCAGTGTTTTGTAATTTTCATTGAAGGGGTCTTTCACTTCCTTAATTAAGTCTATTCCTAAGTGCTTTTTGTGGTTACTTCTTTCATGGTTTCATTCTTTATAAGTTTGTTATCAGTGTATAGAAAAACCCACAAATTTTTGTATGTTGATTTTGGATCCTGCTACTTTCCTTAATTTTTTTGGTCAATTCTAATAGTCTTCTAGTGGTTTTTAAAGGTGCGTGTGTATAATATTTAAATATGTATTTATATATGTAAATATTTTAAATAATACAAACAAGGATAATTTGATTTCCTTCGTATTTGTATGCCTTTTATTTCTTTCTCTGGCCTAATTGTTTTATAACTATTACTATATTGAATAATAGAGGTGAGAGTAGACACAGATTTTTGTTGGTTAGTCAAGTCAAAGGTTTTGAAATTTTGTTTATCTTTTCAAAGAACCCTCTCATTTATTGATCTTTTAGACTTTTTTAGTCTCTATTTAGTTTATTTCTGCTCTGATCTTTGTTATTTATTTTCTTATACTAATTTTGGGTTTGGTTTGTTGTTGTTTTTTTAAGTCCTTGAGATACTTCATTAGGGTGCTTATGTGAAATCTTTCAATTTTTTGAAGCAGATGCTCATTGCTATAAACTTCATAGTACTGCTTTTGCTACCACCCACAAGTTTGGCTTTGTTGTGCCATTTTTGTTTTGAGAAAATTTTAAAATTTTTCTCTAACTTCCTCAATGGCCAACTGCTTGTTCAAAAGTTTATTGTTCAGTCTCCATGCACTTATATAATTTCTAAAATTTCTTTTGTTTTTGACTTCTAGTTATGTTCAGTTGTGATTAAAAAAGATACACGATATGATTGCATTTAAAAAATTTGTTAATGTTTGTTTTGTAACCTAATATATGGTATAGTCTAGAGAAGGTTCTATAAACTGTTAAAAGAAATTGTGTATTCTGCAGCTATTGAATTAAGTGCCTGCCCATTTGATTTGTGGTGTACTTTAACTGATGTTTCATTGTTGATTTTTTTGTTTGTTTTTTGGTCTGTGTGAGCAGACCATTGATGAAAGCAGAGTGTTGAACTCTCCCACTATTGTTGTATTACAGAGTAATGCTCCTTTTAGGTCTATCAGTGTTTGTTTTATAAAATGGGTGCTCCAAAATTAGGTGTATATTAATTTATAATTGTTGTATCTTACTCTTATTAAATTGACTCGGCAAACATTATATTGTGATCTCCTTTGTCTCATCTTACAGCTTGTGTCTTAAAGTTTATTTTGTCAGATGTAAGTATAGCTACTCTTGCCCATTTTAGGCTTCCCTTTGTTTGGAATATAGTTTTCTATACTTTCACTTTCAGTCTGTGTATCTTTGCTGGTCAGGAATGTTTTTTTGTAGGCAGCATATTGTTGGACATCTTTTTAAACAATTCAACAAGCCTATATATTTTATTGGAGAATTTCATCTATTTATATTTAAGGTTATTTTTGGTGGATAAGGACTGAGATATCATTTTGTTGATTTTCTTCTAGGTATTTTATTTATTCTTTGTTTTTTTCCTTCCTCTAGTTCATTTCTATGATTTGGTAATTTATTGCATTGATAATGTTTGATTCCTTTCTCTTTCTCTTTTGCATACTCAATCTTTTAGTAGTATTTATTCTTTCTCATATGTTCATGATGGTAGGTGTCTTTCTTTTTTGGATGTAGGACTCCCTTAAACATTTTCTATAAGGCTGGTCTGGTGGTCACAAATTCCCTCAGTTTATGCTTATCTTAGAAGGTCTTTATTTCTCCTGAATTTCTGAGGTAAAGTCTCAGTTGGATAGAAATTTTGGCTGTAGTTATTTGCCACAGTCTGGTTGGGCACAAATCACGAGCCACTGAAGCAGGAACAAACTTTATTTCTGAACTCCACCAGCACACTCCACACACGCTCCCCAGGAATTCTCCTGAATGCCAACACGCACGCGCAGCTCATCCAACCCGCAGCCGGAAATATCCCTCCTCCAGCACTTCCCCAACCAATGGGAATTCTCCGGGAATCCCCAGCGAGAGCTCAACTGGAACTCAACGGGAACTCCTCTCAACCACTACTTCTGGCAAAAATGCCATGCGTCATCCTGGCTGTGGCCCTCAACAGTTATTTTCTTTCAGTCGTTGGAATATGTCATTCTATTCCCTCATAGCACTGGGATCCCAGGAAACCTCAGTAGCAATAGCAACTAAGGAGGCGGTAGTTGCACTCTTTCTGATTACACACAGACACTGTTTCTTTTTACATTTTACATTTTTGTGGGTCTGATATTTGGTTGGATACAAGGTCCCTGCTGCTAAAACAAGTTTGGAGACCATTGGATTTGATGGAATCTGAAGTCTCATTTTGCAATAACTTATAATTCTAAGAGAAGAGTGTCAAAACCCACTTATCCCCTTACACATTACCCTTCAGGCTCCTCCCTTTGTTTTCTGGAGGAATATCTTATGTGAAATATTTTCCTTGTTATCTCTTTATATAAATATGATAGACTTTGTGTAATCAATTAACTTACACTTCATAAGTCAGAAATGGAAAATGTGTTAAACAGATTAAAATTTTGAGGTAGAATTGTCTATCATAGAATTATCAATTGTGGTTAGAAGAGGGGAAAAGGAACCAAAATCACCTATCAGTCATGAGCCAATCTCAAGCTTTGCAGATAACCACCTCTCCCTTACCGTCACCTGTCCAGATCTTGCCAGTTTTCATAAAGCCTGTCTCCACTTTTAACCAGTTCACCAAGAGTTAGTTTCTTTCAACAGATATTTGAGATAAGTTAGTTAGCTCTATATTCTTATGCTTATCTTCAAAATGAGGAAACTGAGAATGGGTCTGAGTAACCTGCCCCAAATTATAGAACTGACAAAGAACAAGTAGAAGATGGAAAAAAAAGCTCACATTATTAACCCCTAGCCCAGTTATTTTCCCTTTCTATTTTATAATATAAGTGTCTCAATGGGTATTTTCCAAAGTTGGCATTTGCTATGGTACCTTTTATCTGTAAAATTGGGTAATGATATAATAAATAGTTGTGAGCATTTTTTTCATTTAATTAGGGTTAATTGAGATGGTGCACTTAAAAAAGGAAGTTGTATTACAAAGTGCTCCCTGTTCAAATGGTGGTTATTATTATAAGTTCAGCTACAATAGATCCCAAATTCCAGTAGGCAGCTGTGTGTGCTTGTTGATTTCTATTCATGGGAAATGTATTTGTTTATGTCATGGTATATTATCTATTTTCCTTTTATTCCCCACGTGGCCAAATTGTGAGATGTCAAATTAATAAGACTCAGTCATATTTGTGACGGTGGATAGACTTAATGGTTTCTATAAAGGGGTTTTAATAGTTATTTTTCAACAGATGGACAGCTTACATTTGGCCACATTTCTGTAACAGTGTGATGATTGAAGTTTTCAACAGATGGCACACAAATACTTGGGAAAACACCCTTCCAATATTAATTGCTGTATAAAAGACTTTTAGAGTGCCAAAAAAAAAAAAAGAAAGAAAGAAAGAAAGTCTGCATTCCCAAGTCCTTAGCCTATGCTATTATAATCATAATCTAGATGATTTGGAAGTTTCCATTTCTGGCACTTGAATTTATTTTGTAAATGAGTGTACATGTCTGCATTAGAGTGAGATGATGAGGAATACTCTGTTGACAATTAGAAATTCAACATGCATACAACATTAAATCTTCCTCTGATTGTGGATGGATGTAACTTTCTTTTGCTGAGTTATTCTACTTCTGTGCCATACATAGAAAATATATCCTTCATAAAAATCAGCTGTCAGAGACTTATATGTTTTTTTCAAAGAGTATTGACTTAGAAGGAGATAAAAACCTCACCAACTTAGAATTTTCAGACTGATTCATCCATATGATAAACCACCCAACCTTCTAAGTTGTCCTGCTTGTACTGAGAACCACCTTGCTCTGCTTCCTCTTCTCCTTGATTTTACTTTGCTGAATACAAAAGGCTAAAGACTTCTGATCTTATGCTCAGGAATCCTGATGTTTCATGCTAAGTGCCAGCATATAGAAACTTTGTAGTATTTTTTAGTGAACTCATAGATTGAGCATTTACACAGTAAAACAAATATATGTAGCATTTACTTTCTATTCCTCCTTTCTCTTCCAAATAAAACATATTTTAATACTTAATATTTTTTATTTTGCATATAAGTAATTTATATTATTCATGAATTCAAGGAGAGAATTATAAAAAAAATGAGTTGCTGAAATTGATCAGGATGAGAAAAGCATTACTATAGAAAATAAGAGCAGAAAAATTTGTTCACTACTTGCACATATAATTCAGTGTTGGTGTCATTTCAAGAGAAGCACAGTGGCATGGGTCTAAGTCTTTAATAAGGAATACAGTCTTGATAAATTCTGTGCCCTCCATTTCTGTTAAAGTCATGAACTGATTCTCTTTTGGCCATTTTTATCAGCTAGATTATCCTTGTGACTGTGCTTTCAGATGGCGCTTAATGGGTGCTTCAGTTTGGACTACCATGTCAACCCCCACCCAGGGGACTTGATTGAAGTGTTCCGTCCTGGCTATCAGCACTGGGCGCTGTACTTGGGTGATGGTTATGTCATCAACATAGCACCTGTAGGTAAGGATTATTTCTAGTAGCTCCTAGAGTTTTTTAGTTTTCTTGTAAGAAGAAGAAATCATAAACAAAATCATAAAACAGATATAATGTAGAAAGTAAATAAATCAAGCTAATCTAGATTTAGGAAGGACATTCTAAGGGAAGCACATTGTCATTGAAGAAATCACAAAGGCCAATTAATGCTAAAATGTAAAGCCTCTATACTAAAAAAAAAATCACAGTTAAAGAATAAATAACCATCTGGGGATGGTTATTTATTAGTCATGCTCAAACATGACTAAGTTGAATATCCTTATAACATATTTTAATACTTAATATTTTTTATTTTGCATATAAGTAATTTATATTATTCATGAATTTGTGGATTTAAGGGGAAAATTAAAAAAAATTTGAGTTGCTAAAATTGATCAGGATGAGGAAAGCATTACTATAGAAAATAATACAAATTATTATTTAGCTACAGAATATTTATATAACACAAGTAGATGATTCAACACCTATTTATAGATTATTTAGTATGTGCTGAATACTGTTAGATATGTAGACATCTCCTTGCATGGTAAAGCTTATATTTTAAGAGAGAGAGAGAGAGAGACAGACAGACACACCCCCAAAACAAATTACAGTAGTAAATGTTAGAAGGGAGATAAGTGATATAGAAAAAAATCAGTCAAATAGGTGGAATAAGAAGTGCCAAAGGCAGGGAGATGGAGGTGAGGTGTTGTGATTTTAAATAAAGGGATCAGGAAAAATTCATAAAAATGTGCTGTTTGAGGAAAAACTTGAAGGAGGTGAGAAAACAAGTCAGATTCTATCTGGGGAAATGATAATCTAGGCTGAGAGGACAGCAAACCCCCAAATCCCAACAAACAAATGGATGAAGAATTGTGAACAGTTTGTAAAACAAGAGCAAAAACTAACACACATTTTTAAAAATTTCAACTTTGTAGTCATCTACAAATTGTAAAATAAAACAAAGACAGATTGCATGCCTGTTTCAGTAGCAAAGGATAAAAAGTGATAGCAATCAGTGTTGAAATGAACACAAAGATATTGTTAATGGAAATGTAAACTGATAGTGTCAGTCACAGAAGCAATTTAGTACGAATTAAGTCTTAAGAGTTCATATTCTCTGACTCTAATTGTACTTCCAGGAGTCTGGGGAACTATTTAGAAATATGTACAAATACTTCTGCGTTAGGGCCTTTACTTATCCCTCATTTATAATGGTTTAAAAAAATCGACACTGGCTTAATGTTCAATAGGGGAACAGTTATACAAATTATTATTTAGCTACAGAGTATTTAGTATCTGTATTTCAGAATTATTTATTTGCATGTAATAAAACTAGAATTAGCTTAAGTAAAAAGGTAAAAAGGCAAAGCCATTGCTTCACTGAAGGGAACTGCACAAAGGATAGAGGTGATGCTGGTCTCAGAGGAGTCTAATGTAGGATGTGAGCACAATTAGGACTCTTGGACTCATATCTGCATTCTTTTTCCTATGCCTTCATTCTCCCAGGCTTTGTCTCTCTAACAAACTGAGGATGAAGAGCAGTCTGAGACTCTCATTTTATAAAGTCTATAACTTAATAGGAAAGAGCCCTGCCTGTTGTAATTCTAAATGGTCCACTCTAAGTCCCATACCTATGCCTGGACCATCACCTTGCCCAGAACAACAGGATACTATGGTTAGCTCAGACAGAATCATCCAGTAAGAAACAGGCAGTGATGGGACAAGGAGCTGGGTAGATTAAAAACAACAGCCAATATAACAGTCATTAAAAAAATAATAATAATAACCTGGACCTGTTTAACTGCATGGGAAACAGTATGGATAAAATATTTATTTGAAAAATGAAGATTAAAATGCAATAAGCAATATCATACTTGGTTTTCAAAAGAATAACTTGTATACATACATACATATGCATGTACGTATACATGTGTTAGTAAGAGACATTCATAAAGGTACATCAAAGTGGGCTGGGGATGTGGCTCAAGCGGTAGTGCGCTCGCCCAGCATGCGTGTGGCCCGGGTTCGATCCTCAGCACCACATACAAAGATGTTATGTCCACCAAATACTAAAAAACAAACATTAAAATTCTCTCTCTCTCCCTCTCTCTCTCACTCTCTCTTTAAAAAAAAAAAAAAGGTACATCAAAGTGATAATGGTTGTTATTTCTGGGTGATGGGATGAGTAATTTCTATTTAAAACTTAATGCTTTATTTTTCTGTATTTTCTAAACAGTTAATGAGCACAAATTTATTAGGAATAATATATGCAAATAATATGGAATACTTTTTTAAAAGATATCTTTAAAGATAAGTGTGTGTAGGCCTGAGTCTAACTATCACAGGAAGTTCTGAGAATTTTAATGAAATGTTTTTTACAACATTTTGAGTTACTTTCTTTTTGTTCCAAAATATTGTAAGTGGAAATAGCAAATAAAATGACATTTACAATTACAGCTGCTAATTTCCAAAGTCTGGTGTTTAACACTAAGTAGCCTCACACATCTACATTATCTCTACAGTTTTCACATTGGAAAATAATGTGAGCCGTTTTCTTATTTTCCACTATGAAATTCCATATTAATGTTTTCACGTTAAGGTCCATATTAACATGGTTCAAGTAGTGAGATTTGATCCTGTAGAGTAAAATTTCATTTCCATTTCACTTATTAACTACTGTGATATTTTCTGAGTCAGTTTATCTCTCTGAGCTTCAATTTCCTGATTTTTTGCATCAGGCTAGTAAAAAATTTAGTAATTTTAACTATGATAAATATGCTTGTAATGTGTAAAACTTTCAGTGTATAAAGTTAACTTAGAGTACTACTCTATTGGGAAGGAGGATAGACAGAGGATAATGGAAAATAAAGTTTGCTTTTAATTATTAATAAGGGAGAAATTTTCTAAATTCAGATTATATGGACACTTTTCCTCTCATGAGTCACCTGGACATGGCCAGACATAGCAGTCATAGGCAGTTTGAGAGAGACCAGAGCCTGCCATTAGACCTTGGCCTTGAGGAATTGCCTGTTCAGCCACAAGAACTCATAGTGATAGGTCTGAACACAAAGATTCCTGGCAGCCTCTGTGTGTGTGCTTACTAAGAGAAGCAGCTGTGGTGGAGAGGCAGGGCACAGATCCTGTAACATGGGATAGGACACCACAGGGGCCAGGTCTGGGGTATTGTATCTACTGAGGTTAGCTTTAGTTTCAGAACTTAGTTTCTTGGCCAAAGGAATTGGAAAGAGAAAAGCAGGGTCTGATCCTGATCCAAGTTGTCTCTCACAGGACTGGGTTACCATACAAGTTTCAAAATAGGAAATAGGGCCCCATGTTTAGTTTAGTTTAAGGAACAAACATGAAGAGGTGATCCGGTAAGGAAGGCAGCTTAGGTGCTAAAGACAAGCCTCCTAGTCACAGTGCACTACTGCTAAGCCTCAATTAGTTGGCTTAAGGGTTTAGATGCTGAGAAAGAAACTGCGTGATAGAAAAGGTGAGCAATAATCTTATTTGTACTGTGTCAGAAACACATAACCAAGATGTTTAATAACACCAATCTATAGAGAACTTATTTCCCAAGAATAGGTAGGATGCTCTCACCCAATTTGTTCTATGGGAAAAAAAATCAAGATTTCAGAATAATTTTCATACATTCCTAGTCATATGGTATGAGCATTATTGATAACACAGAGTAAGAGCTATGTCTAAGATTAAATGGGCTATTATTTAATGGTATGTAAGGAGCAGAGCTAGGTCTAAGCATTCTAGCATTTCCAAAGTCTTTAAATGGCAGTGGAGTTCACTAGACTGGTCACTAAACCTTGCTAACCAGAATTGTCCTTATAGATGGCATTCCTTCAGCATTTACAAGTGCCAAGTCTGTGTTCAGCACAAAGGCGCTGGTGAAGATGCAGCTCTTGAAGGAAGTAGTAGGAAATGACAAATACCGAATAAACAACAAATATGATGAAACGCACTCCCCTCTCCCTGTGGATGAAGTCATGCAGCGGTCAGAGTTTGTTATTGGACAAGAGGTGGCATATGACTTACTGGTCAACAACTGTGAGCATTTTGTGACTTTGCTTCGCTATGGAGAAGGGGTTTCAGAGCAGGTGAGTTTTCTTTAGGGGACACAAGAAATTTCTTACCTTGAGAACATAGTAACTGTTTGCCATTATAAAAGTCTCAGGCAACAGAGAAAAGGGAAAAATATGAAAATACTGAAGGACAGAGAAGGAAATTGAGTTGTCTAGGGTCATGTAAGTAAGTCAATGATCAAGCTGAGACTAAAAGGGGGACATCATGAATTTTGAGCTGGAAGGGACTTAAAGTAGAATGGAGACCATATGTTTCTGTTAGTCTTCCTGCCTTCTGTTCTCCACACTTTCCTTATTACCCCACCATGCAGCTGTCTCAAATCAATAACCTCATGTACTAAAGAGACTATACTGAAAACAATGCTGGCTTTGCTGGCTGCATCTGCCACAAACAGAGATGGTCATGCTGAGATTCTTTTCCAGTGGCCTGTAGAGGCCAACTGATAACATGCCTTGATGGGTTTATAAATGTTTTCTATTTCCTTGCATTGTTAGTTTTCAGTGCAATTTTGTGCTTTTTAAGTAGATCCTTTGAATCATCAAGCCTTTCAAGTCCTTTAACAGATTAACTTTAAGTACATTGTAATTTTGGCAGTCATCATCACTATTGTATAGTATAGCTGACCCCCAGCTAACCACATGGTTACTTTAGTTGCCCTTTCCCTACTTGCTCTGCTGCCAATTCAGTGTCATCGTTGATGTTTTAGCCCAAAGGTTTATTAAGGTGATAAAAGAGAATAAATACATAAAACTGTTACAAGAGGAAGTTCTCTTCACCCAAAATACATATAAAAGTGTTCATTTTTAAAATTACAATAACAAAAATAGCTTCATACCTATTAAACTCCAGGGAGTTGTCACCTGTAAAAACTTTAAAAAGAAGACTAAAAGTTCAAAGAATAACTGTACAATTTCAATAATATTCTAAAAACTCAAATTTATTAAAGGCTTCTAGTATTTTAAAATGGTGGATCAATTATATAAACTTCTAAGAAATGAGGTTTAATTCTTCTCACAAAAGCTTGGAAAAGTTGGAGATAGAACATAATGAAAGGATGCATTTGTTTTCATTAGAAAATAATATAATTGGAAATTCATTCTCATTAGGAAGTACATTAACATAATGAATGTTCTGTTCACATGGAATGATCAGTTGCTTTTGAGCCAGAACACAGAGGACACACACAAATTCCTCTTCACCTTTTGCATTGAAAACGAGTATAGATAGGAAACAGTTTCCATTCCTCATCTTTGTTAATGATAAAGTTGTTCACTGCACTTAGCAAGTGATTTTTATTTATTTATTTTTTGAATCTTTAGAAATGGGGAGGTATTAGTCACAGGGCACAAATTTCAGTTATATGTAAATTAGTTCAGAGATATATTATACAACAGTGCAAATGATTAACAGTACTGTGTTTGTTGTATACTCAAAATTTTGCTAAGATGATACATCTTATGTTAAGGGCTTTTGCCATGAAAGGAGAAGAACCACCCAAATACAACAAAGAACAAAACAATACAATAAAGTCCAGCAAAGGTAATGGGAGAAACTTGGAGGTAATGGATAAGCTTATGGCATTGATTGTGATGATGATTTCCTGAGTGTATACTTCTTTCCAAACATATCTACTTGTATACATTTTGTTTGTGGATATTTGTGTCTGTAGACTTTTTGCATGGTGATCATTCTTCAATAAGGTAAAAAAGTGACATTAAATAAAAAGTAGTTAAAATCATGTTATTGCTTTGATTCAAACTTGTAACCCATCATCTTTTCATCTTTCATACCCAGACTTAATACCCACGAAAAACAAACTGCTCCTCATTCAGTGGTAGATCTTGGCTCCTGCATGTTCTAATGACAGTGGTGCAGTGTCAGCCTTAGGAGCCTCCCTGACTGCTAGTGTTCTGCTGATGTGAGCAGGAACCCAATCTCTACCACTTAGCTAGGCGACCTAGGGTGCATTATCTATTTTATACTCTCTACAATGAGGTTGTTTTAAAAGATCTGGGACATATTTGAGGTCTCTTAGCATACTATGTTATGCATTATTTATCCTGATGAACAGCATGCCAACAATGGATATTTTAATTACGTTTATTTTAGAATTTTTTTTATATCTTTGTTAGATCCAATAAAATCCCCATCAGAAACTGCAGAACTTGGATTACTCATTAATAATTAACATCATTACTATTAAGTAATAGCTAGTGCTAATATTATTACTAAATAATGGCTAGTATTAGATTAGCTTTTTTGGATCCCCTTAAGGCTTAGGGGCCTTGAATTTAGAAACATTTTCTTAGAAAATGGCTATGTAATTCTACAATTTAAAAAGTTAAAAATGCACAAAAATTATAAGAAGGGTGGAAGGATGTCATCCCATCCTCCTTTTTCTTTATTTTTCTGTATTTAAAAAAAAAATTAAATGACAGTTTTTTAGAGCAGTTTTTAGGATCACAGGGAAATCAAGCTGAGTTCTCTTCTCTTTCTTTAAACATACATTCTCCTTCACCATCAACATCTCATATCTTATTTCTTAAAACTGCCAAACTGTCTTCCAAGGTGGTCATACCATTTTGCATTCCCCTTCAGAATGAATGGGAGCTCCCTTGTTCCACATCCTCACCAGCATTTTATTATTGTTTTAATTTGTAGCTAACTGATATGTATGATACCTTTTCATATGCTTTTTTTGCAAAGTCCAGATCATCTTTGGTGATATGTCTCTTGATGTGCCTTTTCCCTATTTTCTAATAGGGTTGTTCATTTTCCAATTGAATTTTGTGTTTCTTTGTGTATTTTGGGTAACAATCCTTTGTCAAATTTTATCATGCAAATGTTTTCTCTTATTCTATGGCTTTTTTTCTGTGTTTTCCAAAAATTTGAAAAACAATATTTTTAATGTTATAGTTCCAACAAATTAATAATCCATCACATCTCAGATATTCATTTCTATATAGGATAGTGGGTCACGATGGGTTAAAATGTGACCACATACTTGAATAAACCTGATGACAACAACACATGATGACACCCTGCCTGTGCTTCAGTGCACCACTGGAGCCTTCGGGTCTCAGAAAGGAGACATTTGATATACCCTGTAGTCATCTGTGACCCTGCTATGCTGATATCTGTACACAGCCACTCCAGATTAGTTAATGTTTCAGTGGGCATGCACGGATCCCCAGAATGAGGCCTTTATTAATGGCCCACAGACAGAGGCCTCCAGATATAAAGTCTGCAGAGTCACCCTAAGTGAGCCATGAAATAAAGAGCTCCCGTGCATGCTGCTTCACCAAGAATATCCTCAGATGTCAAAATCCTGTGCAGGCCAGATCCCATTGATTGTAAATCCAAGGGACTGTCCCAGTCAAATAGGATTTTGTTATTTATGATGGGACTTGGAATGAGTGAGCATTTGGGGCCTGGGAAAGTGCATGTACTGCTGGAAGTGATTTCATTGTAATGAAATCTGTCCTGTAATCTCAATGAATTTTGGCTTGGGATCAGGTTACCCATCCCCTCCACAAACCTCTAATAGTTACGAGATTTCTTTAACATCTGTGTTTCTAAAAGCTAAAAGATACCTAGTCAGTTAGGCTTGTACCTTTCTGGGTCTACCCTATGCACAAGGTCCTGTGATTTTTCCAGAGCTGTACCAGTGACATTTATTGCAGTTTCATCTGTCATTGCTGTTCCATTCCCCTGTACCAGACCTTCCTGGGATCCCAGCTTCTGTCTGGAATTATACTAGGTTTGGGCTTGATTTACAATCCTTTCTCCTTGCTGATTATCATTGTGCCCCTGTCTTTCTTGGGAATTCTTCCTGTATCCTACATCTTCTTGCTTTCCCCTCACCCCCATGTGCTTGGGGTGCTCTGACTTCTTGTTCTCTCACAGGGAATAATTTAGGTAGTAATTATTTAAACATCATAAATAAAATAAATAAATAAGCAAAGCTAAAATTATAAACTAAAATAGGGTTTCTCAGGACTCAGGGCAAATTGATGTCAGTACTACTCTCCCTAGCAACTACAGGTTAGCAGAGGCAGTGATCACAATTAGAGGCCTGAGGGAATACATGCTTCAAATACTTGGAGCAGATATTCCTTCTCTGTGCCTCTTTCCTGGCCCTGGACCTTCCTGTTATTTCCAACTGGGAAGCTCTGTGGGTGGCAGGCCCAGGCTGGAACCCTGTTGGTTAGACAGAAGGCATAGGCAAACGTGACCTAGGTCAAGTTTCCAACTATTGGACTGTTCCCCAAGTCATTTGAGAAAAATGTTTTGCCTGATCCTTACACCCCAGAATACAAATGCTGCTTTCAGAACACCTGATGACTCTGAAGTGTGTGAATGTGACCTTTGTTTGGGTCATGAAATTGCACTTAAACCCATGTGGATGGAAGGCAATATCCATTGAATGTCATTAAAACCATGAATATTCATTAGATCCCTCATCATGATGATGATTTATACCATTAAAGCTATAAATGTCTGAACTCCTTTATGGACAATTGAGCTTGACAGTGGTTTATTTTTATTTTGTCTATATGAGAAATTAATTTGACATGATAGTTAACATCAGTATTGACTTTTCTTGAAATCTGTTTACCAGACTACAAATTTTATCTACCAAATAAGAGCTTATAGGTATTTAACTTAGATCTTATCCTTATTTTATTGATAGACATTCTTTAGTCAGAGAAACATGCCCACCCATACACGTTGTACTCACCCTGATACAGACTTTAGTCAAACTAGTGCATGTTCAGGAGGTGTAGGGGCTGCTACAGGAAGAGCATGGGGTTCCAGAAGACTCAGCTTATCTCTCAGCATCTTGGTAGTATGACCTTGGGCAAATCACTTACAAGCTCTTAAGTTTTACAAAACAGGAATAGTTCTATCTCTTTTACTAGTGTACTGCGATGATCAGTAGTACTGGGTTCATAACTAGTCTATATACTATCAAGTGCTTCAAAATATAAATAGTACATATCAATGTGTATTTATATCATTTACATAATTATAAAAATTATACTTTTATTTCATTTTCTTCTAGAATTTTAATTTGGCATTGAACTTTATTCATTGTACATTAAAATGGGTATTCAGTTTAGGAAACAAAATAAAGCTTCATTTAAGACACAGAAATGGGTATAGAATAAGATGTATTTTTTATTTCTTGTTTTCTTCTAGGCCAACCGAGCAGTAAGTACCATTGGATGGGTGACAGCTGCTGTTGGTGCCTTCTCATTCCTGGGCTTGTTTTCAAAAAGACAAAGAGCAAAATACTATTAACAATTTATTGAAGAGATATTGGAACTGAAGGAATTTGTGAGGAGGAAAATAAAAAAAAAACCTGGAATGAATACTTACTTTCAACGCATCATTATTGTTCCAAATTCTGATGATGGATAGCAGGCTCTTTAACAAATTGCTTTCTGATATTATCTTATCATTGAGCCAAGGAAATTTCTTTCCCTACTAGCATAGATTTGCTGTGGCAGTTGGAACAAAAAGCTATAGCCTCTGAGTGAGCCAGCAGAGGATCTTAAGAAAATCACATCACATTTTATCTTCTACTATAAATATTGTTTTCCATATCCTTAAGGGTGGCTATTTTGCCAGAGGGATGGAGAACCATTTCCAGGGGAAAGCAAAGTTAGAATCCCAAATTGTTAGGTTGACATGTTAATTCATGTTCCTTTTCTTGTGAGAAAAGAAACTGGGAAATTCTGGTTTGGCAGCTTGAGGACCTGTGAGTGACAAGCCTTTTGAGGGTGTGCCTCCAACTCCCTCACTCTGTAGGTGTGGGCGGGTGGGAAGAGCACGGGAGGAGCTCTTCACTTCCCAACTTCAGATCCAGTGATTTCTCTGGAATTCACTTGCTTGTCAAGAGCACATGACAATCCATGAGTGACATGGGCTGCTGTTTCTATAGTTACATTTTGAATGTTTCAGGGGTTTGACATTTGAACCTTGGCAAGAGATCATCAAACGTTGGTTTAAAGTGCCAAAATGAGGAAACAATATCTTGTCCTGCTTTTTAAGGTTTGTACTATAAGCCAAGGAGTGTCATGATTTTATTCTTACATTTTATTGGTTAGCTGTTGAATTTAAATTTATTACCATTTGAGTAGGCTTCTTCATTACTGCAGGTAAGGAAAGGTGAGGCATAGGTCTTTCTAAGATGATAGTGGACACTATAACTTATCCCATAAACCACATTGCCTCTTTACCTTTATTCCATCCTTAAAAGCATGGCATTAGATAAAGTAGATAAAAGACAGTGAAAGTCTTGGACCTATTGCACTGATTTAGATGTTACCTCATGTCCAGAAATACTGTACAAGCTAATCACAGGCTTAAGAGTAATGTCAACAGCAGGGGTTGTGCACTGCAGTCCTGGCCACAGACATCTAATCTCTCTTCCCTCCTTTTTCCTATGTAACCCTTTGTTTCTCATGGCACTGGCTCTGTCTCCAGACAACCCCCAAACTTTCTTCCCCCACTGATCATCTGAGAAGGTACGTGTGTCTTCCACCAGGTACAAGATCCTTTTTTTTTTTTGATGGTGGTTTTGGGGATTGAACCAGGGCCTCATTCATGTGAGGCAAGCACTTTACCATTGATGTATACCCAAAGCCCTTCTTATTTTGACAGTGTCTCACTATATTGTTCACACTTGCCTTGAATTTGTGATCCTCCTGCCTCAGATTCTCCAGTAGCTGGGATTATAGGTGTGTGCCACCATGCTAAGTCCTTTAATTTTTATTCTAAATTCAGGTTTCTGCTTCTTTATGCCCTGCTTCCAAGAAATAGTCAATGAATGGAAGCTTTCTAGAGTTATTGAATTAAGGTGAGACTGGCAGCAGCTTGTTACCTTTCCCCATTTAAGGCAATTGAGAGAGAAAATTCAAATTACTAAAATTCATGATGAAAAAGGAAACATCACAATGGACACTACTGAAATAAGAAGATATTTAGAAACTATTTTGAAATTTTATACTCCAGTAAAATGGAAAATCTCAAAGATATTGACAGATTTCTAGAGACATATACTCTACCCAAACTAAATCAGGAGGGCACACACAATTTAAACAGATCAATTTCAAAAAACGAAATAGAAGATTCCATCAAAAACCTACCAACAAAGAAAAGACTAGGACCAGAAGGATTCTCAGCCAAGGTCTATGAGACCCTCAAAGAAGAATTAACACCAATACTCCTCAAATTATTTCATGAAATAGAAAAGAAGGGAACCCTTCCAAACTCATTCTGTGAGGCTAGTATCATCCTAATACCCAAACCAGACAAAGACACATCAAGGAAAGAAAACTTGAGACTAAGATCCCTGATAAACAGACATAAAAATTCTCAATAAAATGAGTTACGTTGATTGATGTCAAATCAACCTTTCAACCCTGGGATAAGCCCCATTTGATTATGGTGCACTATCTTTTTAATGTTTTTGTATTTAATTTGCCAGAATTTTATTGAGAATTTTTATGTCTGTTTATCAGTAGATTTAAAGACATGAACCATTTGATCACCTCAATAGATGCAGAAAAAGCATTTGATGAATAGATGTTCAAAACACAGGGCCAATCTTAACCCAAGGAAGGGAACCTGGCTTTTGCAGAATTACAACATTGGTGAGTGAGAGAGGATGGAGTTAATTTCCTGAGGGCCAAAAGTCAAATCTTTCTAGAGCACCCTGGAGGTCTCTGCTCCAAAAGAGAGTCCTAGCTGTGCAGAATAAAGCCACAGATGCACTTCTGAATTCATGGATTGATAATGTCAGAGGTGTCAGTGTTCCTTCCCCTTAGAAGTTAGCTCACAGAATTGATCATGGTTTCCCCATGAAAAGGTCCCTTCTTGGGGACAAGCCACCTGAGGAGGCTGCCTACCTTGTTTTCCTGCAGGTCATCAAGGCCATCATTTGCTGTGTCATCATGCTTATCATTCTTTGACCAAACTTTTTTTCCCCCAACATAATTAAACCTTCCTGTGAACGTATTTTTGGCAGTCAGTTATGGAGTTTAATTTTTCATGTTCCAAAAAAGAAATGTGAAATAAGGATCACCACCCACCAGATCCCTAGTAGATTGTTAGTAAAACTGAAAAAATAAAAAAAAAACAGACTGTACTTGTATTGAATCAGGATTTTTTAAAAAATATGTTTATGTTCTCTAAATGTTATACTGTTACCAATTGAATCTTTTCATTTAAAAGTCAAAATACTAAATATAAATGTCAACTCAAGGAACCCGGGCTACCATATATTTAGGTTAACATTACATTTCCTAATCATAAGCTAAAATCTCTTTTCAAAAAATATTTGTATGTTGTTGTTAGGCAATAAATTAGACACATTTTGAAAATGATATCTCTCCAAAGAGCTGTTAATAGGAGGAAAAAACAACAACAACAAAATGTTGAGTTTATTTTTATGTAAGAAGGTTTATTTGTGCTACTGGTTGAGTAACATAGTTTATAATGCTATTTACAGGAGGAAATTGCTAAAATATTGAAAAAAATTGTCAGTCCTAAAGATTGCAGATCGTAAACTCAGGGCTATTTCATATTGAATCCATATATCATGATATTAGGCACACACTTGACAATTATGAGATGGAACTGGTTTTAGTTAACCAGCAATTAGCTTTGCCTATGGTCTGTTGAAAATCTGTTCAGTTGGCAAAATTAGATTTATTATTCTAAGGAAAACCTAGTAGGTTATTTCAAATATTCACCAGAAATAAACTTCTTCCTCTGAAAAATATACATTTTATATATACATATTTATTTATGTATGTGTATATAAGTAGATAGATCGAAGGATATATTTGTAAAGAATGTACCCTTCTTGTCTTTCATGTGCACTTGGAATGATTTATATAATTAAAAGATGAAGTAGAGCATAAGGTCATCTGGAAGCCAGAGGATTTTCATCGGTCCCTTTCTTAGGGTTGTTTATAAGACAAGTGATGTTGAATTTGACCTGTCTTTTTTTTTTTTTTTTTCACCTAGAACTTACTTGAAGTTTTGGTGTGTCAGTAATAAAGAGTAAATCAAAGCACCAGGCTTTCTGAGGTGAAAGGCACATTTTAACAGCCTTCCATTATTTTGGGGATCTACCATGGACCTTCTAGCTCAATACTTTGGGAATTGTCAAACTTTGGTGGAATTTGCTTAGGTATTAGCTATGCCTATGCTAAGATTATATGCAATTAACACAAATCTCTGCCGTTCTCCACTTCCACATGACTCTAGCTTACTACATAGTTAGGGTTGAATTTTATGAAGTAAATGTTAATACTTATTTCTATTAAAACCATACAGTGAAGCCAAAAGGAGGAATTTAGTTATCTTGTAAAAAGATATGTACATATATATATATACAAATGAATGTAAGATTTAAAGAAACTTGTGTGATAATTAACATATTGGTAAAACTTTCAAAGACCAAATGTTTCCTTAGCTTTTCTTTATTGATGTTCATACTTCTAATTTTATTATCCTAAGAGCTGTGCATTTTAAACAATACAGTCTGAATAAAGCATATTAAAATGATAACCCAAGAAATGCATTTTTTTCTCCCAATAGGAAAGGATATAGTCAAAATAGATAAATTCAAGGTCCTCTGTTGCAAGGCTAAGTGCACTGAGAAATGTGCTTCAGATGATCAGATGGACAGCAAAAAGAAAAGGGAACATTCTTTTCACCTTCCACATGTTTTAGTTTGGAGGAGGGTGATGCTGCTCAATATGTATAACAATTCCAATTAGAGTCTTGTCCAAAAATGCTGTTCTTTGATTTGGTCCCCTGATTTGAGTTTTTCTTTGGGGACCAGTTCATGGTTTTCATAGCCTTTGTTGATGTAGAATCCATTTTTACCATCACTTGCATAATCCGTCCTATTTATGGGGGGCCAGGTAGAGTCTTCTGCCAGCTTTTTTTGCCAGGTCCTATATTGACTTTTAGAGTAGAATCCAAATACTTTCTTGATCAACAGCCAGAACGCTCGATTCTGAAGGATGGCATCCTGGAAAATTAGATGGGAAAAACAGTCAAGTCACTGTGCAGTGTCAGTGCTAGGCAGCTCCCCACACTTCCCCCAGGTTGTGTTCCTGGCTGCTGTTGCTGCTTCTCCTCCTTGAGGTCCCCTTATTCTTCCTTTAAGAAGTAAATGGTTGCTTCTGCTCACAGTTACCTGTCGAAAGCATACAGCCTTTCACCTATCCATATTTTCTGGTTAAATCCTGGCTAGTGACCCACTCAGGATTCCTTTTCTGACAGACTGAAATGATAGCAATATATAGAAAAGGAAAACCCCTATTAATCCTGCTACTTTCTACCAGCCACATACAAGGTGCCAAATAAATGCATGTTGAAGGAATGGTTGAGCTCTAGCTATCAAAGGGTTTTTGTTTTCCATTTTTTGAGTTCCCTTTTCTCTTTCTTCTCGTGCTTATGCAATTTTCATACATTTATAATAATAAAATTGGTCAAATTTTGCATTCCACTGTCTATACTAGACTTAATGTCATGAGTAATCTTTTAAAATAGTAGCAATAGTCTTTTAAAAGTTTTTATTTAACTGCAGTAAGAATACAGCTACAGTCTTATTAATCATCTTTAATGACTGTATGGCATTTCTTCAAATTGATGTATAACTATTTAAATACTTGACAATGCTTCAGTCCTGTATTTTGCCACTGTAGGTACACTGAGATGACTATCTTTATACATGTAGGGGTTTTGTCTGCCTTTTTGTTTGTTCAGTTTTTTTTAAAATTATTTTGTTGGTTCTTCTTAGTTATACATGACACTGGAAACCATTTTGACAAAATTATACAGGCAAAGGACATATCTTATTGTAATTAGGATCTCATTCTTGTGGGTAAAATATAGTATCAAAATTAGAATTAAAAATATGAAAAATTTAATTCTTATTTTATACAAGATAGTATATATTCATAGGTATGTAGCATATATATAAATAATATCTATATATTATAGGTATATAGATACATATTTTAAAGTTTTATTGATTCCTTTTCCCAAGGGACTTACTTACCTGACTCTTATTTATTTATTTTTCTAACTCTCCCTTTGAAAAGCAGCACCTGAGCTTCATACTGTGTGGGTAAAGTTATGTAGTGACACCAAGAAGAAGACCAGTGTGAGAGGGGAAGACTTTCAAGGGTAGACATTGGTAAGAACAAAGGCAACTTCCCATCTCTCTTCATCAGGGCTGTCCTCCTGAAGACAGCTGTTCCCTCTAAAAGGTCCTATTGAATTTTAGCAATGCAAGGTCACCTCATCTCAGCTCTCCTAGATTATTGATAACATTCGAAAAGTATAATACCTTGCTTTTATGTGAGGCAAAATTAGAATTAATTTGATGTTTTACTTTCTATGCAGAAGATACTAGTAGGCTTCAAAGAATTTTAAATCACTGTCTAGGGAATTTTCCCCACAGAGAATATATAGTTAAAAAGAAATTAATAACTACAGATTGGGGGACCAAAATAGTTGGTAAAAAAGGAGCATCTGTTGAGAATAAGACCCTTTATTTGTTTATCTCTCTGGAAAAATAATAAGAAACACAGAAATTACCTCTACAAAGAAGGCAACACAGAACTGGGTAAGGGCTGCCACCAAAATCGAAACTCTCCATGATGTTATGGTTGGGATAAACTATAGTAAAAGAAATACCATCATTATGCAATACATTGCTTATGTTACACTTTAAAAATACACATATCAATTATCTTAGTTTATGTATCTATCATAACTCTCTGAGCTTGTGTGTGTGTGTGTACATTTCCTTCTCTACTCTACAGATGAGAAAACTGAAAACAAAGTCTTACCCAAGCGCTGACTCAAAGCCAATAAGTAAAAAGCAGAGCCAGAGTCCAAATGAGAATGGAAGGACTCCTCTTGGCCTCTGCCTCCTCCACGGCTGACAGTATCTATTGATGAAGTGTGCCATGGGTGGCAGATGTGAGAAAGAGGACACTTTGGAGCCTCTGTGTCTTCATTTTTATCCTCTGAGAAATGGGAAAGTGGGGATAAGATTGACTCCTTCAGCTACTAATTACTTTCCAATTTTCTTCTAATTCAAAGCAAAATCTACTTGGAATTCATTTCTTTTTCAGTAAAATTGACACATCATAAAATCTAAAGGGGGACAGAGATACAGGTTTATTTTGACAGACTAAGTACATGTGTTCTTGGCTCCAAATTTAATGGCTTTATGAAAATCTAGCCCACCCCCCCTTTAAAGATAAAAATGTGTCCATTGATCAACTACACTTGTTTAATAGATGCAAGAGCCACCGTTTCCCATGGTTTTACCCACAGTGAAAAGGTAGTTAGGTGGCCCCATTTCTGACCCCATAGACTAGAGTTTGCATGGATGATTGTGTTTGGGACTGAGCTCTCCTGATGTCAATAACCACCACCCCCATAGTGTCTAAATGCTCACCTTAAATTCTCATCCCTATCCTGATATGAGTTATTTCAAGATTACACGTGGTCATTTTTTTCCTCAAGTGGAGACAGCCTTTAAAGGGTTGTGAAGTGCTACACATTGGGTGGAAGGTTGTTTGGAGAAGGTGGCTCTGATCCCAGTAGACAGAGAATCCAGCCCAGTAGGATCTCAGTGCTGCCACTACCCTGATCCATAAGGGCTCTTCTCCAACCCTTGACCTAGGAGGCACTTGATTTGGAATTAATTACACCATGGCCTTCCTTCCTAGCTTCTAAACTATTTGAGGGCAGTGACCGCATCTTACTCATCTTTGTAAACCTTGCACCAGGCATACTCTGGAGCTCCACCATGTTTGGTAAATGAATGAATGACCTGATGATCTGAGCTTTCATTTTCTAGCTGCTTCTTCCTCTACAGCTTCTCTACTCTTGCAAAGAGCCTTCCTGCCATCATCTAACTAGTCTGCCTATTAAATGCCCTCCACAAAACCTTCAATGACTCCCTGTTGGTCTTGGCATAAGTCCAGACTTCACTGCCTGCCTTGTCCAGCCAAGCCTTCCTTTAATCTTTATTCTTTTCCCTCATAATCCATAGCACACTGCCGCACTTTTGGCAAATCCTCTAGCTCCTTTGTAAAGCAAGCCTTGCCTTGATTCTTGCCACCCTACATTCTTTGCATTTCCAAGACAGAAGAAGGCCCTTTCAGCTCCCTCTGCTTGTGCCTAGGATGTTTCCTTGGTCAGAAACATCCCTGTCTCCAACCCAGCAAAATCCAGCTTGATTCTGGATCCCAGCAAGCTGCATGCCCTCTGTGAAGCCTTCCTGGACAGCTATAACCCAAAGTGAGTGCTACTTCCTATGTTCTTCCCAATGCTACCTTGAGACTCTCTTCAAGCATGGATGGCTTCAGGTGGCCCTGTCATCATCTCACTCAGGTGTGCCTCATCTTCACAACAAAACTATAGCCTGAAAGTCAGAAGCCAATCCTTCTCTTTCTTCAATATCTCTTATTACAACAGGCCAAGAATGGGCTTAATAACATCTTTATGAGTTTAATTTTAACCCAATATATCCTGGATCAAATGATGTTGACTGATTAAAAAAAAACTCCATATAGTCAATGTCTTATAGGACAAACATGTTTGCTTATTCTTTTATCCTTACAACAATATTATAAAAGATTTCTATTATGTGTTTAAAAACATTAAAGCTGGAGCATTATTGTATTAATGCATTAATTTTATTGTACTGGTATAATATACAGAATGAAATATTCAAACATAATATTTTCTGAATGAAAAGGATAAATGTGCCCAAATGATAGTACAAGTAATATGAAAATATATGTGAGATATAGAAATGCTATTTGTCTAAATATAAATAGTCTCACATATTTAGTGGTCAGAGAGAATATGGTAATAACTGAGCTGCAAAAACAATGTAAATATGTTCCATGGTGCATATGAATCATGTCAGGTATGCAAATAAATGATACTTACCTCCATTCCCTGGTATATATCTTGAAAATCAGAAAACAGAAGGAAGATTGTGAGGCCCGAGGCAGATATCAGCAAAAATGAAAATATATCTGAAGAAACACCAAACATTATTTTTAGATGCTAAAAGAATGTTTCATATAATTTGGCACACATTGCAGAATCAATTATCTCTGTTGGGCAAACACTGGATACATCTTCAGATGTTTTGATATATACTCATATGTTTTAAAATATGTTCAATGCTTATATGATAAAGGTGATATCTTAAAATCTTTCCTGAATAAGGCTGAAAGTAGAAGGATGTTCATTAAAGAAGAATGTCTATAGGAACCTCTGTAAGGGAGTTGCCTCAACTGTGGATTCCTGGAGGCTGGGACATCCTGCTTTGACCATCTGAATAGTCACCAGAGAGGCCCTGGTGCATTAGCTCCACCTGTCTAGTGAGCCCTGCACATAAGGAATGAATAGGCCTCTTGGCAGCATCTCCTCCTTCACTGCTAGGAGAATAAAGTCCCAGAATCTGTGATCAATGTTCCAGGCCTTCACCAATTTGGTCCCATCAACCTCTCTAAACTGACCTCTGACTGTTCTTTTTAGGTGCAACAGAAAAGTTCAACCACGATACCCAGTACTTCCACAGAGTCCCAGTTCTCTGGCTTCTCTGCCTTTGCTCACAGAATGCTCTGTGTAGGCAAAATTCTTCCTGTCTTGGCATAATCCTTTTTTTCCCACTTAATGAGCCCAGTTTAACTGGCACTTTCCTTTCAAACACCCCCTAATCCTCCCTTATGAAGTTTATTTCATATGGTACATATCATACTCAGCCTAATCTTAATTTATCTAATCTACTAGGCTGTGATCACTTGGAGCAATGTTGGATGCGGGCACCAGGGACTCTGACTTGAAAAAAATAAGTGAGTGACACATATATCTACTGAATTTCCAACCTGCCCAAATTGCTTTACTTTGAGGAGATAAACTTCCCCAGATAAACTGTTCCCAAATTATTGCTCATATCCCTCAAAGCCCAACATCTCCTGTCGGTCAGAGCTGATAGCACAGCACTTCATAAATAGTGCCTTAGAAATGTCTTTGATAGGAATATCACGTTTAGGCTAAAACACTAGAATTAAATTGGTGTTGTCATGATATAAATGACCACAAGGGTTTCCCTTGAACTCTCCCAATGTCATGTGTTCTGGTGCTGATGACCTACTGCACAACTCAGTAATGTACCAACTGAAAATCTGAGGCAAGTGCTCCTCTCCAGGGGGCCCTACTTTTGAAGCCACACCCTTGCACACCTACAGTCGCCCTGGTTCTCATCCATGTCTCATTTCTTGCATATGATGTGGTGCAGGACCTCTCAGAAGAATGTCCAGGATTGTTCTAGAGGAGTGTGAAGCAGGGAGGAGAAAAATGGGAATTGCATCTCCCCAGATAAAACAATCTACTCATGGTTGTGGTGATAAAAAGATCCCAGGAGACAGCTGTACGGCTCTTACATACACTTCATTGTTTGGGAGGGGCGGGGACTCAGAAGCTGTCAAGAGAAGGATGCCTCACAAAGGCCTGGTCCTCCTATTTGACAATAGGAAGGAAATTGCATTATGTGCACAATATATTTTATAAAAAAAGTTTTAAAAGAGGTAATCCATAAGAATCCTTAAAAATTATTTCAAAGGAAGAATGTAGAACCAGATGATTTTACTAATTATTTCTTGCAAATTGGCAAGGAAAGGATCATTCCTACTAAAAAAAATTATAAAAGAAAGAAAAACTTAAAGCAGTTTCAAATCTATTACCCAAGCCTAACAAAACCTAACACAGAAATCTTCAGAATCCCATATGAAATGTAGATTTTAAAAAACTATAAAAATTCAACTTAGTAAATGTATAATCCACCTCAAATTAGTAGGATTTGCTCAAGAAGACAATTTAATAATAAGCTTCTTAATATAACACATTCTAGCAGTAGGTCAAAAGAGAAGAAAGAATAATCACCAAGACAGATCATGGGAAGGCATTCTATGAATTATATCTCCTATATGAGGTGGGCTACCTTGCACCAGTATTCAGTCATATTTATGAATGAAAACTACTAAAACTATTTTATCAAGGGTGAAGCTACCTCCTACCCTTCTATTGTTTAAGATTGTCCTAGAAGTTCTGGACTATACACTAAGATAGAAAATAGGGGAATGCATTCTAGTTATGGGAAATGAAGAAGGAATATTATAGCTAGCTATTATTAGTACCTGTCTTTCTAGAACACTTGAGATTCAAAAGTTTTTAGAAAGTAGAGAAAATGAGGCTACACTAATATTGCTACTTATTAAAAAAATCTTATGAAATTATAATTGTTAAAATATAGTGAAAGATCAAAAATAGACTGGCTGGCTTATCAATGGAACACAAAAGACAGTCTGGAGTAAATTGCATACATATATATATAACATATATAAATTTATGTAATATAAATTATAAGAAAATAATAAATACATGTGAATAGAGGTATGATGAAGTTGGTATTGTGCTTGGCTCAGGAACAAATGAATGAAAGGGTATTAAATACTCAATAGTCAAAAAAAAGTCTGCTACAAAAACTGATTGACTAGTTGGATAAACTAATTTGATACCTACCATAAAAATGTACCAAAGTTATATTAGATTTTTTTAAAAAACACTAAAAGAAATTTTTAAAACTACACAGTGTTAATCTATCCTACTTTACAATTAGAAAAACTTTCTGTGTATAAAGGAAATGGGGAAAAAAACCCATAAAAGAATAAATAGCTTACACAGGTAATAAGGAAAGTAACAGTAATCCAATAGAAAAAATAAATAGATATAAAAATGTACATAGACATTTCGCAGAAGAAGAGATGGCTAGGGATATGAAAAATGTATTTAATCCTCACTGAAAATCAAAAATTGCAAATTAAAACCAAATGAGAGACTATGTTTAAAAAGTCTTATTTGACTTGACAAGAATTTTCTTTTTTATTTCCCATGTTGGATATGCTGCCTGAAGCAAACTCTTTCCAAAGGAATGATAGGACTGAAATTGGTACAAACTTTCTGAAAAGCAATATAAGTTTTATATCAAAAGTATTTATAATACCAAACTATTGGAACAGTTGCATGGTCATCAACAGGGTGACCATGAGTCCTCTTTTGCTCAGCCATTTGGTGTTTGAGCCTGGCATGATTATCAATCATGGTTTTCTTTTAATTCTCAACAGTGTCTCTGTCTTTTGGAAATATTCTCTGGCTTTTATGCACAAAGGTCTTGATTGTAGCTTTGAAAAGTTTTTTTTTTTTTGGTGGGGGGCGGGGGTGCTCATTTTTTATTCACTTAGATGAACATACTAGGGAAGTAAATAAGAATTTTTGAGTCCCTAATAAAAGTGCTGGACCCTTTCTCATGAAATTCCTCATGCAGTTCTCCCTGAGGACTCACTTTCTACAGATGAGGAAATAGGGGCCCAGAATGAATGGCTACGATAATTTCTTCAATACTCTGAAGTTACCAGGGGGTCAACTTGTAGTTGAATTGGTTCAAACCCTTTTACAAAAACAGTGTGGCATATATGTTTGTGCTTAAAATGATTCTTGGTGGCTTCCAATAGGAAAGGACTCATATGACCATTGAACAGTATCTGTTCATCTGCAGATGTGCAAGTTTTTGCCCGGGGTTCTACCACCTATGACCATCACATCCAATATTCATTCTGCAATAATGAAATTATTTTCTTCTTCATTAGTAACTTAAAATTCTGGGAAGGGTGGGGATGAGATAAGTATTCAGAACCAAAAAAATAATTAAATTTTATATACTTACAGTTTGTGTAGATGGGTTTTCGAAATGGTTTTCCCTTAGAAAAGATGAATGCTACTGTGATGCAATTGAAGGTGACAATGGGCCACAGTGTGGTAGTCTCAAAACTTAAAATCGAACCAGGAATCAGAGTTGCATTTCTAGTCCAGTTTCTTTCCAAACTCATATTGGATGAGAAATTACTTTGGTTGGCCAGGAAGCACTCACTACAAAGGAATTGCCAGCAGTTATGGAACTTTCAATTCTATTTTTAGTCCATTAGATGAAAAAAAATAGTTAATCACTACCCTGGGACCTCAGCTTTCAACCTGTTCCAGTTGGTAACTACCAAGACATTTTGTTCACTTGTTGCAATGACAAAGAAGAAAATTCAGAGGATGTCAGGATCGGTCTGTGGCATTACATTAAGGGCAAGTCTTGAAAGGGCTTGGATGACAATTTTCTAAGAAATTTCTTTCAATTCAAAAGAGTAAATGTACCATGTGAATTGGATGTGTGTGTGTGTGTGTGTGTGTGTGTGTGTGTGT